ACGATTTCATAATTTTCGCTGTTCGCCGTCCAAGATGGATACGGGAAAGAGCCGAAGACTTCGATAGTCTGGATGATCGGGATTTCATTACGAGGTACAGACTGACAAAACCTACAGTTTTGTCAATTCTGGCAAAAATAGAACATCATCTCGAGTATGAAACAGACAGGTCAGTCGGTGAAGTTGGAGCTTATAATAACAAAAACTTTTCAAAGTACCTATAACAGTTTTTTTTCCGACAGAAATAACTGTATATCCCCGATTAATCAGTTATTATGCACTCTACGATTTTATGCCACTGGATGCTTTCAAACCACTGCAGGGGATCTGTGTGGCTTTAGTTCTTCAACAGTAAATCGGATAGTGCATAAAGTTAGTTGTACTATTGCGTCCTTGCGTAGTCAATATATTAAATTTCCTGGAACACCAGAGGAAATAAGACGGAACCAGTTAAATTTTTACAGAAGAGCCAAGTTCCCAAGAGTCATTGGTGCTATTGACTGTACCCATGTGAAGTTGTGGGCGTTGTGGCAATCACCAGGTATTTACAAAAATAATTAATACTTAAACCTGTTTTTCTTATTAGTAGGTACAAGTTATTACACCCGTAGACACAATTTTCTAACAATATAAATGTAATTAATTTATTTTTATTTTTACAATTATAGTTACATTTTACATTAGTGGTCTTTCTTTCTGAATTGCAGGTGGAGAATCCGCTGAGCGTTTCCGGAACCGCAAAGGATATTTTTCGTTAAACGTTCAAGCGATATGCAATGCTAATTTGGAAATAATTGATGTTGTTGCAAGATATGATGGAAGCACTCACGACTCCAGAATATTTCGAGAGTCAAAAAGAAGAGCTTTATTTGAGCAAGGAGTTTATGGGGACGCAGTACTGGTAGGAGATAGTGGCTATGCCTCTGCAAATTACATGATGATACCACTACAAGAATGCCATACACCAGCGGAAAACTTGTATAATGAGTCACAGATAAGGACGAGAAATGTTGTTGAAAGATTTTTCGGTGTTTGGAAAAGACGTTTTCCAGTAATGGCTTTAGGTTTACGAGTAAAACTGATGCGTGTTTTCCCTATCATCACTGCAACATTAGTATTGCATAATATTGCCCGAATAGCTGKAGAAGAAGTCCCCAGAGGCTTTGATTTGATACTCCCTGCTCCTTGGGAAGAAATACTTGCCCAGGATAACATAGACATTGAATATGAGCCAAACCCTATTAATCGAAGAGTAACACA